TTCTCTCTCTCTCTCTCTCTCCTCTCTCTCTCTCTCTCTCTCTCTCTCTCTTCTTCTTGTCTCTCTTCTCTCTCCTCTCTCTCTCTCTCCTCTTCTCTCTTCTCTCTTCTCTCTCTCTCTCTCTCCTCTCTTCTCTCTCTCTCTCTCTCTCTCTCTCGCTCTCTCTCTCTCTCTCTCTCTCTCTCATCTCTCTCTCTCTCTCTCCTCTCTCTAAATGTTTCCTTCCATTACTCTCTCTTTTTCTCGCCCCACATCTTTCTTCCATACCGGCCCTCCTCACTTACGCTGAGCCACGCTTCCACATTCCTCCTATGCGGCGGTTGGGAAGCGGCCGCGGCACCGTTCCGGCATCAGCCGCGCTGCTCAGTGGGGGGGGGGGGGGGGGGCAGCGGCGCGCCCGCCCGTCGCAGTGTCGGCCCACACGGCGGCCGCTGGTGGCCCCGCGACCCGACGCACTCCGCGCTCAAGGTGATCAGGTGCGTACGAGAGCGCGTACGCGTGCGCCGCGCGCCGCCCCAGTGACGACGCCGTCCGTGTTGGTGACCTGTCGCGCGCTGCAGTCGCCGAGGAGGCTCGGCTGTGGCCCACACCGGCCGATCAGCAGGCAGGTGCCCGCCGTGTTTCGGGGCGGGACGGACAGCGGCTTGTTTGTTGAGGTTCGAGCAGCCGTCTGGCACTGTTGCGTCATGGTCAGTCTGGTCCAATTACGGAGCGCAGCCGTACCAGGACGCAGCGAGCGCGCAAGGGCGAGCACGCGGTGCAGCCTCCAGTCGGGCTTCCCACGTGTGGGAATGGAATCGTTCATATCATCCCAAAGAATGTCGTTCAGATCGGATTTATGTCTTCGAGTGGTTGAAGCCAACATGAGTTAAGCGTAAAAGGGAGGCATCGCTTGCATGATCGTAGCAACAGTGGCGATGGGTGAACGATACACGTATTTGGGTTTTTATGAGAACCGGATAATGCATGTCAAAAATAGACCACATGGATGGGTGTCTACCGCTAACAAGCATTGCTGGCACCTTAAATGCTAAATAGCTTTCAACGTTATGAGGGCATAGGAACATCCCAGAAATGTACTTTCAGAAATGTTCCCATGCCCCCGATTACTTCAAATATTTGAATTATTGTCTATGCATCTATTATTTGAAAACGAAGACGCCGATTCTGACTCACACAATACCGAGTATTTGCGCCCAGTGAAATTTCCCTCCTGAGCTTGTGTTAAGTTACTGCACGGTATGCTCTATTGACAAATGACCAAATCACTGAGCGCGGCCCTGTGTTATGGCATGAATCACTTCGGCTTTGTCCTTGTCTGATTTATGAGTGTCTCGTTCGCGACGTACTGTACACAAACGTCTCGATGTACTAATATAGGGGAATGCTAAGTTTACGTGCATACGCTGTTCACATTCATGCTGCTCAGCCGCACTTCTAATGCCAAGCAACAGATATTTCAGACAGTAATGACACAGCTGGTCGCAAAAAGCTAATGGAGGCAGGAGGCTTAGCTCTCACCTTAAGTCCGTTTCTCCATTCTAGCTGCCTTTTGGTTTGGAACAATGCAGTGGTAGCAATGAAGGATAGTTTTATCATGTTGATGCGCATTAAAACAGCCGTTTGATGATCCATAATTATCGATACGAAAGCCGCACATCGTATGCTTACTATGACTCTTACACTCAGGGGTTGTTCGCTTTCCTATTCAAATGGGGGTTGCTGACCTCTCCCCGAACATGTGGTTCCCCCCCCCCACCTACAACTCTGAGAGTAAGTGCAGGGGTTTAGCCGTGAAAGCATGCTTGTTGGTATAACATGGGCAGTGTTCTAATTTTCCCGCTGCTCAGACGCCAACACATTTTTCGAAACTACGCCCCTAACAACACTGCTGTAAAAGTGCCTTCACATGAAAACATGCCTCCATTCTCAATCGTTGAAATGCCACTGCCCACCCTCTGTAGCATGAAAGTTTGGCGCCTTGCCAGGTGCCCTCAAAGGTTACATGAAGGACAAGGCATTCAGCCATTTTCATTGAGGCGCGGTGAGTGAAGCTCAATTACCTATTGCATTTAGACTCTGACCCTCTGACTAGCTGGCCGATACATACATGGGCATTGACTCAGTCAAAAAGTCAAGGCAGTTGTCGAGAGAGTCATGCAGAGCATTCGTGAGCGGTCAGCCCGCTCGGCTCGGGCAGAGCTGCCCCCGCCGCCTGCCGTCGGTGGGCGTGCTGGTGACGTCACTCGGGCGCAGTTTTCAGACCGCTCCGCCGGTGGTTTTTATTTATGTTTGACTGCATAACGGAACAGATGTTTGGTATTTGGTGGGCAACTTTTTCACTTGCGGGCGCAGTCAGTCACCGATGAGCTCACTTTAAAATGGAAAAGGAATAACGCAGCTTGAAACACCGGCGTCATGTGATTTTCCTGTCAAATGTCGTCATGCAGTGATGCCAAACCAGTGGTTTTTATTATGTTTCTTAGGAATATAACGAAAAATATAAGTGTGATACAGTGCTGGAGGTTGCCGGTTTAAGTGCCTTATTCGGACTGAGCCACAGGGCCGAGCCGTTGGCCTCGCTGGCTGGGCCCAGCCGCAGACTCGGGCCGGTCAAGTCCTGTACGGACTATTGCCCCCCCGAGACTGCACTGTATGGGTCAGCCCTGCGCCCGTGCACGGACAGTGCCCTGCGCTGGTCTCTGTTGGTGCGCACATCCCGTGTCGGCCAGCCAGGCCTACCTGGCGTGACCTGGCGGGACTAGTGCTCCCTGCGATCTGACCCGGCCATGAGGTAGGTCACGCCCCTGACCCCCTGACTGTGCCCCAGCGCTCCCTGTGACCTGACCCGGGACCTTCCGCGGGTGGCCCGTCGGCTGACGTCAACCGGCCCCTGCGAACCCCGGTACCACTCAGCCTGCACGGCGGCGCGGACCCTCCGCAACTCGGCAATAAACAGCCGAGGAGGGCCCTCAATCGCCGGCTGCAGGGCCGCCGCAGCGGCGCCGGTGACGCCGCGCGCGACACCGAGACCGCGCCCGCCGCCCCGGGGCGCTCCCGGCTGGGGCAGCGCATGGCCTGTGCAAAAACATCATCTAGGGGTGGACTGCAGGTCTAGTCGGGGGGTGAACTTTACTCATTATGTTTGCCGTCTTTTACAGCTTTTCACCCGAAATTGTCCTTTGACCATACCAACAAGACAGTAACAGATAAAGTGCATGTCCTTGATCAAATAATAAGCACACTACTTTTAAAGGCAGATGTGCATGTATGCTACAATGTATTTTACTTTCATGATTGTCAAAAACACCCACCGTCTACTTTGAGTGGCACTCCCGAGTGATTTGTGTAAACGACGTGCCGGAATAAAGCTCAGTTGAACGTCTTCTTAATCCTCGGTAACCAGGCTGTGGTAGACCTCACCCAGCCTTATCATGACACTTGAAAAGCGCATCATATATCGATCGGTCAGGCTGGCGTGATGCTGCTTGCCCAGTGACCAGCGTTGTAGGAACATTTAAACAGCACACGGGTGGCTGCAAGGATGCGCATCCTGTAAGTCTTGGTCGTAAAATTATGCGTGACATGCTTTCCTGTAAGCGTCGCCTTGTGGTTGTCAATGTTTTTACCGGTTGATTTGTGATATGAATCACTCAGCGAAGCCTAGCGGCCTGCGTGTAAATGACATGCGATTTTGCAAAGAAATTAGGCAAACGCACGATCGGTGCTGAAATCTCCGGTTTTTCTAATCCTCAATTACGATTGTTTGGTATTCGGGCAATTTGTAAACAATGACAGCTGTACTG